TTAGGAAGAGATGAAATGACTAATACCCCACTAAACCTTCATTCAGTAACATGCAATATTATGAGTACAAACAGAATAGTCATTTTAGGTGAACTTCATTGCCTTTGTACTCGATGCTTCGAGTTTTTTTATAGGTGAATTTGGCATCCAATTTGTACACAGGAATGTCCCACAAATAGCCATAAAGTGAATGGCCAATTTTATTTGATGGATTGTTGACTGGAACATCAGGAGAAAACACCTTCTTTGAGATATCCTCTCCAAGTGAAAGGCGCTGTAACAAATGTAGGGATTATTATTATTATAAAAATCTTTTCCTTTCCTGACACCTTAAATCACTTTTCAGCATTAATAATGTCACTCCCATAGCAGTTTTGGAGTTCAAACTGTACATCAATCCTCTTTAGTAACTGACTGGCTACACTTCACTATGCATATCTGAGATATTTTAAGAGGCCAATAGCCACCACAAATTACATTTGTAAAACACCTTTCATGTCAGCAGGATGTCCCAAGGTGCTGGATAGTCAGGGATTTGGACCCAAGCATTGGTCATTGGGATCAGGGAGGGTGGAGGGCAGGGAGAATAGGAGGGTGGCCAAAGGCACACACGAAGAGGAGGGTCTTAAGTCATGACTTGAAGGAGGTAAAGGAGGGAGTGTGGTGAAGCGACTGCGGGATGGAGTTCCAAAGAATGGGGGCAGAAAGGTGATGGCCCGACCGCCGATGGTGGGGCGAGTTGGACGGGGGACGTGGAGCAGGCTGGAGCCTCCTGAGCTGAGGGAGCAGACAGGTTGATATGGTGTTAGCAAGTCACAGAAGTAGGAAGGAGCAAAGCCGTGGAAGGCTTTGAAGGCGAGGATGATAATTTTGAACTTTAGGCGAGGACAAGGATTTTGAACTCTAAATATAGTCTGCTTCAGAATATTTTAAAAATTCTTATGTGGAAATTACTGCTTTACATTTTTAATATTTGGGAATTTTAGAGCAATTCAAGGAGCTCAGAAAGTAACAATTTACTGGCTGGACTGTAGTAGGCACTGAATAATAAGGTCTTAAACTGAATCACTGAGATGCACAATGAATGGATTAGCATTTCCAAAGGTTACAAGGAGAAAATTGAAGTGCTGCAGAAGTGTGTTAAGACTGCAAGTCTGTACACTTGAATGAAAATTACAGTTCGAATTATGGTTCTTTAGGAGGGACTAATAAAACTGTAATTTAACCAAGGGGTTCAGATGATGGAATGAAAGATGAGATTGAATCTCGATTGTTTTCTGAATGTCATTTGAACTTGAGATTTAAATGCAGCCACATTACTCACTGTCCATTCTTCATTATTTTTATGCACTATGCAGTTTTAATAAACTGGAAAATGGCAATAATTTAAAAATTGCACTGAAATGATTCGGTCGCCCTAGAGAATAATATTAACACACTTTTAAAAGATGTACAGTACAGAAATTCTTTAGGAGTCAATTTCAGGATCATAAAAATGATCCTGATTGTACCACTAAATACTTAACAGGAAATAGTTCCTTAAATGTTAATGGGAGATTCTCTTAAATGCCGTTCTCTTAAAGAGGGTTGACATTTTATGCTTATGTTGCCAATGGAGTAGACTAATATCACTCTGAAGGTTATTCTCAAACTGACAAGAGATCGAATTATAATTGATATGTAAATTATAAAAACAATTCTCATGGAATGCTTTTGGTCGCAAGAGGTAGTGAGGACTGATGCAAGGGTGATGTTTTCGGAATCGCACAAAATGTGTTATGAAGCTGGATGATTAGAATTGACTTTCCAGGCATGATGCAGCTAATAATACATGTGTTATAAATTATCCAAGTAACCAATTAGTGCTTTAATGCACAGTGTAATAACATGACAGTTTGCACAAGTCATTTCCTATACAATATGATTACAATCTCAGTCAGGTTGTGAGCTCTCAAGTGACTGAGCACAGGTGAACAGTTTCTTTGCAGATGGGCAATGAAACCCCAAGGGTGACCGAAATCCATATGCTCTCATGCACCATCTAGTGGATAGTTGCCAAAAAGTAAAGCCACAAAATCCGCAGAGATCTACCTATCCACTCTATCAACAAATAGTTTTTTATTTCAAAAGAGCCAACATGATTAAGAATAAAAACCCATGATGCATACAAGATCTTTATAAAAGTACTCCAGCATATTTATAATACATGCCAAAAATGTGCAATTGTAGTTATAAAGTTTATCTCCACTCACCTCAAGAGGGGTACATGTTACAAAGATCAAAAAAATCACCTGACATCTGTGTCTACCAGAGTCTACAAACCTCTGGCAGACACAGATGTCAGGTGATTATTTTCAGAGGTCTCTGCTCCAATCTAGGAGTCGCATGAGTCAATTTACTGATCAAATTACTAAATGTGCATTATTCCAAATACCACTCTATTCCCACACATTAAAACTCACAGGGATTTATTTTTGTGATAAGCTTTCTCCAAATATTGTGCTATACTACAATCTATACCAAATACAAAGGAAAAGAATTACCTTCAAACCTGTTAAAACAATCACCTCTATCCAGTAACTACCTGCGGTCAACAACCATGTTGGAACAGCCCAGACTAATTTTCCATAATAAACCATATCTATTCACAAACCACCTGTCTAATGCAACCAGTGGCCACTCTTTTTTTACTGCTGGCTGTGTACTGACATCCTCTTCAACTACCAGATCCTGTCCAATAGGCTGCTCACCACAGCGCTGGCACACGCTAAGAGTCTAGCGAAATTCTACACTTCAGCCTGTGGAAAATTTTGGCTCCTGTACACAGCAATAATGTGCATTTTGTAATTGATTTATTACTTTATTAAAACTATAACAATAATAATAATCCTTGAGTTTGATATAGCGCCTTATCATGTCATCGAGAAGTCTCATAGCGCTTCACAAAATATACTGTAAAGTGAATTGACTGTATATTTTGTGAGAGAAAACGGCAGCCAATTGCGCACAGCAGTGTCCCACAAACAGTTGTGGATTGAATGACCAAATTANTTTTTTTTGAAGGAATTATTACCACCAGAAATGCAATCCGCCAATTGACTAACAACTGAGTTCCTACTTACTGCTAGATAAACAGAGGCATGTGTGTGGAGTAAGGAAACTTGCCCAATGTTTCGCCCTGCGAGTTTGATTTATGGGTTTGAATGTGCACTGTTTTCTATACACTGATATACTTAGAAATTCTGCACACCAATGAATCCTTACTCAGAGGCCACCCTTGCATAAAGCCAGTTTGGTCCAGTCCCCTGAGCGTTTGCTGAAAACAGGTTTGACTGTATTTCGGAAAATATCTTGAAAACGTACAATACAATACAAATTTATAGTTATGTAGAGCCTTTCACATTGGGAGGACATGCCAAGGAGCTTAACAATATGGCTTGGCACCAGAGCTGGGAGTGGGAGCTGGGTGGTGGTGGGAGGGAAGAGATGGCCGAAAGCACAAAGGGGTAGGTCTTGAGATGTACCTTGAATTTGGTGAGAGAGATGGAGCGAGTCGGAGGGATTCCAGGATGGTGGGAGCAGATAGGCTGAAAACCTGTTCATCAATTGTGTGGCGGGGGTCATGAAGCAGGCCAGCTGCTACTGAGCGAGGGGACTGCTTGGGTCAGTAGGGTTTGAGGAGGTCACAGAGGTAAGGTGTGGCGAGACTAGGAAGGGAATTAAAGGTGCAAATGAGGATGTTGTACTCAGTGCAATCCACTGAGGATGGAGAATCAATGGAACTGGGCAAGGATGGGGATGAAAGGCTTGAGGAGCCTGGTCCGGGAAAGGGTATGAGCTGTAGAGTCTGGTGAGCAGAGTGTTGGTGGAGGCGGGCAATATTGTAGATGTTTATCCCTGGATTAAAAAAAGCTCTACATTAATTCAACACTGTCAGATGCTTCAAAAGCAAAAACCCAACTGGTGTCCTTAATGCTTCCTGTTATTTTGCTTCAATCACTCTCTAAATACTATATGTGGAGTCCTGCAGCTCATTGGTTAGAGCACTCACCTCACAAGCGGGAGACCTGCGTTCAATTCCCGAGAGGGTGAAACCTTGGGCAAATTTCCTTACTCCACACATCTGATAATAATCCCTCAAGAAAAAAAAACCCAATAATAAATTGATCACATCAATCCACAACTGTTTATGGGCCGCTGCTGTACGCAATTGGCTGCCGCATTTTGCCCACAAATATACAGTCAATTCACTTTACAGTACATTCTGTGGAGCACTTTGAGACATCTAGAAGACGTGAAAAGCGCTGTATCAAATGCAAGGATTATTATTATTATTATACTGGGCAGAATTGTCAGTTAATAAGGCAATTGTACTAAATTTGGAAATAATTTGGATTGTTTCAAGCACGATACATATTGTCTCTCCTGAAAAATGCTTAGAGAAATCAACGGTTGATTTTTAAAGGAGCAACATTTTCATGACAAAAAAATGGCAAAGTATATCTATTTATTTACAAAAGATTGTGATGTACAACACACTGAACTGCAATATCACAACACTTGCAAGTATAAGCAAAGGGAAGAAAAGGATGCCCAATCCTTCTGGTGTTTTCCCTCCTCAATACTTGCATTATGAAAGCAGGCTCCCTTGAAGTCTTAACCACATCCGATATTGACTCTAATGTGTACACAGTTGTAAAATTGTACCTACCTGCTCAAACTGTTTAAAAAGAAACCTAGAATGATCTCTGTAACAGATATGATTTAGTCTGTCAAAGAACTATTAAAGAGTTAACCAGCAGGAATAAAGACAATGTTGCATTTTAAATTTGATTACCTTAAGATAACTTTGGGACCAGACAGATACTGTCTTCCAATCTTGGGAGCGATTAATTCCACTCTCCATGTAATAGTTTGCCACTTGAAATGTTTTGCCCGTTCCAAAGGTGAAACACAGTGTCAATGAAGTCCTGGGACATAAAACTATTAATACAACTTACTTCTTCTTTTGCCCACGTCGCCTTTGGATGTTGCAGCTTCATTTAGAAGAACCATTCCCATGGTGATCGCAGCATCTTACAGGCGTTGTCAAGGAAACAACAGTGTATCCCACAGTGTACAACAAGGTGAACTAACAAAGTAGGTAAAGCCTTTTTTTGTTTCTTTAACCACTCACACTAAAAAGAAAGCTTTCATCTTGTTTTGCAGTAAACAGTGGGTACAGATATCACAAAATTCTCCCAATCTGAATCAAAATATAGCTGACTTTTACATTTTAGCCTGAAATGGTCACCTTTGGTGAGAAAATAAATCAGCTGGAAACATTAAAATGCTGACTGATAAAACAAAATGCTGAATAATACAGCAATACAATGCAAGTAAATGCAGAGGAATCCAGGAAACACCTTTGTGAGTTTTAATTTGCGTGTTGATATAAACGCTTACCATGAGCGGGCTTAAGCAAATCTCAACAATACCTTGGAAAGGTACTTTTATTCGTCATTTATGTGCAGTGCATTATTTATGGTCATTCGAGGGCCAAGCACATTACATCTCATAAAATGTAATCATTTTTTCCCCCAACTCTATTTTAGCCTCCAGATATGATTTTCATACAAAGATCATAAACTGCAGTAAGATAGCTTAAAGCTTTATCAGTACGGCCTCTACCGACAAATTGGAGGAAGCCTGGAGCAGCTGAAATGATTATGAAAATAATGGTTTACGAAAGACAATTCTGACATGGAGACTTTGTATTATGTTATGGAGGTTTGGCTACATTTCTTTTATTGATTCATTCTTACAGAAATCCTGCTGTACCAGAAAATAGGAATAGGAACACTGAACATCCCTGCTGATCCTAAACATTGTGTCAGGTTACAATACAACATAAATGTACATCTTTCACATTGAGAGTGTGCCCCAAAGTGCTCAGTTGACCATTATGTGGCCTTTTTGACTTTCAAAATATGTTCTTGTTTTCAGCTGAAAGACAAGGAGTTTTATAGAACTGTGTGCAATGAAGAAATCTAAGGTAGAATCATAAGGAATTCAAAAGATCAGAAACATGGCTCACAATTCATTGGGCTCTAAGCAGGAAGCAAATATAAAAATATTGGAATATATATCCAGCAAACCATTAAGGATATCCAATCTGATCAAATAAATACCCTTGTAAGTTCTATCTTTGAATGTGCAATTCTGTCCGCAAAGTGGAGAAAAAACTGCAGACATAAGCGAAAACCTGGGTACCTTGCATAAAATGGATCTCACTGAGATTTAACCTTTAGCTGACTGAAAATGCATCTGAATACACATTAGGTATCTGCAGGAAACAGACTTTGATTTAAATTGTGAAGAAAACTAAGCCCAATTTACCATTCATGTTGTAGTTTGTGCACAGAAAGGAATGCAAATCAATGTAAGAGACCCAGTCTTTTGTATATCTGTGTATACACACATACAACACAACAATATATATATATATATATCTATTCATATACAGTATACAGTTATAACAGAAAAGCCAATTTTCCACAGTTCTTAAAGAGAAATGGGAATCTTTTAACTCTGTTGATGAAAAACAAATGATCAAAAAGTGTGATGTGTGAAGGCTAAGAATTCTGCTGCACCTCTGTGAATTGAAACATTGCAAATTGGATGCAAGCTAGAAGTATTTGCCGCAGTGCCAACTACTATATCATGACCTTCCCTAGATTTATGAGAACATCCAGAGCCAGAGATGACCAATGTACATTGTGCACATCAGAAAATGGGTTCTCTAAGGTGTGCTTTCATATGGCTAATTATGAACAAAGAAAATATTGCTCACTAAACACAGTAGAAAATATAGTACAATAATAATAATTCTTGCATTTGATACAGTTCTTTTCACATCTTCTAGACTTCTCAAAGCGCATCAGATTAGACTGTAAAGTGAATTGACTGGATATTTGTGGGCGAAATGCAGCAGCCAATTGCGCACAGCAGTGTTCCACAAACAGTCATGGATTGAAATTACCAATTTATTAGTGTTTTTTTTCTTGAGGGATTATTATCAGGCGTGTGGAGTAAGGAAACTTGCCCAAGGTTTCGCCCTGCCGGGAATCGAACTCAGGTCTCTCACTTGCAAAGCGAGTGCTCTAACCACTGAGCTACAGGACTCCAAAAATCATCAGAATCTTTATAGGATTCATATGGGGGATTTGTGTATCTGTCTGTTGATAGGTTCTCTTGACAATATACTTGTATTTTACAATATGAAGCCTTTGTCCTCCTTTACAGAATAAAATGAAGCTTGCAGTGTTTGACATGTTGAAAAGTTCTCAAAACGATTCACAGACGAGTGACAAGTCAATTGAAGTTACAGGGAAACACGGCAAACATTTGTGCTAGGGACGGCACACTTAAGACCACAATTACTCTGAAGAAATATTACTATGATTAATAGGAATAACACTTCCCTCTGAAGTTCTTTACTGCCAATTATAGTTCATCAGCAACACAAAAATAACCTGTTTATAGCAGCGTGCCCTCAGATGGTCTGGTTTAACTGGGGTAATCATGCATGTGCCATATCTGAAGTAGTCTTCATTACTGCGATAACAACTTGATCCTTCAGTTGCTCATTACTTGTGACGTTTTGCTTACCGTGATGGAGGGGGAGAAGTCAATTATTTTTAGACAGTAATTTTATTGTGATGAGGTTGCTGCTGGGCAGCTCAATGCCTCATGTGTGCCTGACACGATTGTGAAAAGGTGATGAGGACCTTCCTCTGGGAACTGGATATAAGATTGGTAGGTAATTAGCATCACATCCACGAATGGCCACAGTCTTTTTGCTCTGATGTTTAAACCAGTGCACGTACTGCAGGTCAATACCTTGTGTTTTATGTTTTAATCTTATCAGATATTTCTCGTCATTATCCTTAAGCAGAATTATGGCAGTATAAACTTATTTACTTATTACATTTTTGATTCAGCGTCTTTCATGCCAGGAAGACATTTCAAAGCACTTCACAGGATATACTGCAAGGTGTTGTGCCTATATATTGCGCAGGCAAACATAGCAGCCAATTTGCACATAGCAATGTACCACAAGCAGCCATGAAGTGGAAAACCAACTTGATCTTGGGGATTATTGCCCAAAACTGGGAAATAACTCTTTTCGAATAGAGCCATGGGATTTAACATCCACCTAAACGGATAGACAGGACACTCGTTTAATGTTTCACTGACGTAATTAAATTGTTTACCATTAAATTAAGCAAGATATATCAGACTGAATTCAAACATTACAGAAAGAAAAAAAAACTGTTAAAACAATCATTTACAACTATTTTACATTTATTTAGCACCTTTCACTTTGGGAGGAACTCTCAAAGCGCTTCACGGAGCCCAAGCTCAGGGTGGGAAAGGTTTACTGGCTTGCTAACCCCAAGCTAGGGGTTAGCAAATACAATTTAATATTGCCATCACTGCACTTGGAGGCACAGCCTAAACTATGAGCTCAAGGTCCCAACATGGGCATAAACCCACAAGCTTCTGATTCAGAGCCGAGAGTGCTGCCAACTGAGCCAGGCTGACAAATCAATACACACCAATAATGGCTATTTGGGAGGATTTATATGTGTATGTAGCTTCTCAACTTCTATCATCCCAACTTCGCTTAGCTCCATTGGCTTCCCAATCACCAGCAAACTCGCGTTTAATTCCATCCATGGCTTTGTCTCACCTCTGTTGCCTACTGTACCCTTACCTCTACACCACTCCCTCCACTCAGCGAACAACAGCCTGTTTTATCTCCCACTACTGAGTTTTCAGCCGTTCTTCTTTTGTCTCTGCAAATCCAACTTGGGAGACACACCCCATGCCCCCACTTCATCCCCACCTTTAATACCCGCCTGAAGACCTTTCTTTTCGACCCCACTTTTGGTTATCTTTCCCCTCCACCTTCCTCAGCTTTTCCCACAGCTAACTTGGACTCTGTCAAGTGCTTTGAGAATTCCTCCCGAAGTGAAAGGTGTTAAATAAATGTAAAATTGCGGTAAGTGATCATTTTAGCAGTTTTTCTTTCTTTCTGTAATGTTTGAATCCAGTCTGATATATGCTGCTTAATTTAATGGTAAACAATTTAATTTCACAGTTAATTGTCTCATGCAGTTAATCTCATTGAACAATTTATATAATAAAAAAGATTAGATACCACTAACAGTATAATGAAATCAACTTCAAGTGGGTGACATTAATATGAAAAACGCAAATAGAAGGAAAAAGGTTTATTAATTTTCCTTCTAGTGGGAGTAACTGCAATTCAGAATAAATCAGCTGGAATTTTATGATTCAGTACAGTAATAATGAAGGTCACAAGAGTACAAGTGAATAATTGTTAAGAATTCTTACATGTGATGCAACACCTTATCAGGTCATCACAATGTCTCAAAGCACTCAAATGATTTTACTGTAAAGTTTAGTGACTATGTACTTGTAGACAAACAATTGTTGGCAGAATGATTATCAAAATCTAATATATAGTTTTACAACATTTAAAGAGAAGCTCCGATTGGCAATCCAGCTATAACATTAATAATAAATTGTGATACAAGTCATCAGTGGAGGTTGGATGGATTAAGTCTCCTGGTTCGGCCCTGTAACATTCTATAGTTCTACGAAGTAACCTAAGTAGGAATAATGCATATGTAAAACAAGTCATTTTGGTTTAAAATGTCTACCTCTGTTGATTAAAAGGCTCTGTGGTTGGTTCATTTACACGTATAGCATATACTGTAAATATATACATATATACTGGTGTATCGCACCCAATTATCAGGCTGCTAGATATTAAGAAAGTCAAGTTAGGAACACTGCAATCTGCAAATTTACCAACAATAGAAATTTACAGTGCAGATAGAGGGCATTCGGCATCTTAAGACTGCACTACCCCTCAGAGAAAGGTGTTCATTCAATTCGCGCCCAATCCCCATATCTCTTCCAAGCCCTTATCTTGCATGTACTTCTCTCTTGAAATCCACAACCCTGCGTCTACCACTTTACTTGGCAGAGATTTATATGCTCC